GCCAATTAAGAACAGACATCATCAACTACAGCCCCAAAGTCAGCGCGTGCGAGAAGAGCCACTTGTGGCATCAGGTGCAGAGCCCGCCCAACGAGTTTGCGAGGAGCGGGAACCGAAGTTGAAACCTGTACCTGACGCGAGCAGCGTTGGATATAGCCAGCGTGTTGAGAAAGTCGTGCAGGATGATCTCGATACGGCATTCTTCGAGCAGTTGTACGAAGCATCGTCAAGCGACGAGGAGCTGGAGGCGCGGGACGAACTGGCGGCAGTCGCGCGCCCCGAGGCTGCCAAGTGCCGCCTGGGGTCAGCAAAGGTTGATGCGGCTGGGGCAGCGGCGGCTTGCGAGACACGTGACCTGACGCACATCACATGGGGCACTGCAGGCCCCGTCTCCGCCGCCCTACGCCCTGGCCCTGCAGAGAGCAGTCTCTTGTCAGATCGGAGTGGGCCACGGAGCAGCTGGCCTACGGTGACCAGGCCGACGCCCCGCAGGCCCCGGCCGTGGAGACCGCGCTCATCTCCCAGCGAGCGTCGGCCGTGCCCCCGATTGCCGCTGCTTTTTCAGACTCTGGCGAGCATCCCTCTGGTTGGGACCGTGCCGTTGCGTCCCCGACCGATCCCTTTCAGCTCCCCCCCGAATGGGAGTCGGCGGTTGATTCTAGCTCGGGCAACACGTATTACTTCAACCGGGCTACGGGAGTGACCCAGTGGGAACATCCTGGGGAGGCAGCGCTGCTCGCAGACGTCCTGGCCCAGATCGAGGCTCTTGCGCATCAACTACCCCCGTGATGAGATTTTCCTTCAGCGGCACGCTTTCTTATGTGAGGTACTCACAACGTTCATAAACCCTCTCATGCAATGGCGCTGGCCAGACTGATTCGGCCATCAGGTTTATAACTCTTCTCTCTGTTCTGACGCTCCTGAGTTTCTTGATTCGATGTAACGATCTGCCCAGTCGAGCCATCGCCGCATACCGCTCGGAGCCCATCGGGCATACGAGGTCTGGGAGTGGCTCGGAGATGGCTGCCATCGCCGCATACCGCTCGGAGCCCGCAGAGCATACGAGGTCTGGGAGTGGCACAGAGATGGCGTCAACATCTGCGCTGCGCGGTCCGCCCCGCTGCGGGGCCCTGGCGAGGTCGCGGTCTCTGTCACGTCCATCGGGGGCGCCTGGCGGTGGGACCACACAAGAGGGTGCTCTACGTGCAGGACCTTGCATGGTGTGGACTCCGCGGGGGCTCGCCCCCCCTGGGATGGGAGAGAGAGAGGAGGAGGAGGAAGTGGAGGAGGGGAAGGGAGGAGGACGAGAAGGAGGAGGAGCAGGAGGAGGACGACGACGAGGAGGAGGAACGGTAAGAAGAGGAGCGATGAGGATGGAGAGAGGAAAAGCGGGAGGAGGGATGAGGGGGAGCAGGAGCAGGATGGAGCAGGATGGGTGAGGGAGGAGCAGTGGGAGAAGGAGGAGGGCGGACGACTGAGGAGGGAGGAAAGAAGAGGAGGAGGAAGATGAGGACAAGACAAGACACGACATGACAAGAGAAGACACCACAAGACACGACAACACAAGACACACCAAGACACGACAAGACAAGACAAGACAGGACAAGGCAAGCCAATCACCGCTGCGAGGCACAATTCCTTTAGTCATCATGGGGAGACTTCTCTGGCCGACAGTGGGACGGCAATGATGGGGAAGCCAAGCCGCCCGCACACGGCACATTCCTTTCTGTAAGAGGGGTGCGAAAGGAAGCAGAGACCGCTTCAAATCCCCAGAGGCGGAGCCCTAGGAGGAAAAGGAGGAGGAGGAGGAGAAGGAGGAGAGAGGAAGAGAAGGATAATGAGGAGTTCGTTCGGGGCGTCAGATCCTCCTCCGCCTCCTCCTGCTCCTTGCTCGTGCTCCTTCTAAGTATCCTCCCAATCCTCCTCCTCCTCCTCATCCTCCTCCTCCGCATCCTGCTGCTGCTTCTCCTCCTCCTACTCCGCCTCCTCCGCCTCCTCTCCTCCTGCTCCTCCTGCTCCTCGAGCGTGAACCAAAGTCTTTATCCGGTCTCACTAGCTCCTCCTCCTCCTCCTCCTGCTCCTGCTCCTCCTCCTCCTGCTTTCTGCCGTTCGCGCGTCGAGGCCACACCCCCGATCACCAGCTTGACTCACTCTGCGGGCTCCATGCGGCGGGCCGCCCCCCCCCCCCCCCTGCGAGTCCTGGTCGCGTCATGCCTCAGCCGTCTGGACTGCTCCAACCATCCCTCTCTATTCAGGAGCTCGGCGACTCTTCTCCTATCGACCCGCGGGGATCGAGCGAGGTGAGTCGAGGTGAATCCAGACACGTCGAGGTAGATCCTGACAGATCGAAGCGAATCCAGAGATATCCAGGTAAACCTGAGCAATTCGTGGACGCTCCAGCGCGAGTCGAGGGGCGGCAGAAATCGTTAAGCCCTCGACGACTCTCCTTCTGTCCTCCGCGTCTGCCGAGCGGGCGGTCTTCTGCGCCTCGCGCGCCCTTCTCTCGCTCACGTTGATCTCGTAGGACGCTGTCTGCAGGAGGGGCCGACGCGGAGGATGCGCAAGCAGCGGGAAAGAAACCGAGTCACGCGCCCCCTGCCCATTCCCCACCCCCCTTCCCCATACCTGCTGCTGCTCCCCTCTCCCCCCACTCCCCTCCCTTACCCGCTCCCCTCCCCTCTTCTCCCGAACCTCCTCGCCAGTCCTCGCTCCCGTTCTCTCCCCCCGCTCTCCTCCTGCTGATGCTGGTCCCTTTCCCCTCCCTCTCCCTTTCAATGCTGCTACTGCTCCTCCTGCTCCTCCTTTCTGCTGCTCCTGCTGCTGCTGCTGCTCCTCCTCCTCCTCCTCCTCCTCCTCCTCCTCCTCCTCCACCACCTCTCTCCTCGGGCTCCCTCTTCCCTCCCCGCTGTCCGTTCGTCCACCGTCCTCCTGACGCCTCCCTCCTGCATCATCCTACCTCCCTCCCTCTCCCTCCCTCTCTGGCAAATCCCTCCCGCCCGGGAGAATACATACGAACAACACGATGAGTGAGAACCGCAGATGCAGAGATCGTGTCTCCATCCGTGATGCCGCCAGGCTGCCGCCGTGCCCAGCAGGAGAAAAGGGGCCTTCGTGCCTCGACGGGGGGCTCGGCGCGAGCGTGCATCGAGAGCTATTCCTATCGTCCTGCCACGGCATGTTCTTAGAACCCAGAGATGTTCTAAGAACCTTGTTTGGCAGGGCCGCAGGCGAGCCAGGACGCTTCGCCACTGCTTGAAGCACGCGGTGCCGACGGGGCTTCGAGCACTCCAGTGCAGGGACGGCTGCCGGACGAGGGGGCGCGACGCGTGCCTCGCCCCCCCCTCGGCAGGAGGCTCGGCTACGACAGCGCGGGGAGGTGCCGAGCCCACCCTCGCCGAGAGGGGGAGAGCGGCTGCCCAAAAGGCCTCCGCCCGGACCGCCCGCCCCTTCACGTCGGTGCCTTCCCCGGCCACTCCGGCGCTGCGGCCAGGAGGGCGCGGCTGGGCGAGTGGGCCGAGGCCGAGGCTCTTCGTGGGCCGTCCCGTCGTGCAGGAGGAGGAGGAGGAGGAGGGATGGGGAGGGGGAAGGAGGCAGGGACGGACGAGGGCAGAGGGAGGAGGGAGGGAGGGAGGAAGGACGAGGGAGGGGGACGAGGAGAGAGGAGGGAGACGACGACGGAAACGCGGCAACTGCACCCACCCCCAAAGGCCCAGCTGCGACCGCCTTGGAGGGATGGTCTTCCACCTGCTGCTGCTGCTGCTTCTCCTTACCCTCCTGCTCCTATTTTGACGTTGCTCAGGCTTGATCACATGGTGGGCTGTAGCGTCTTCGCGGGAAACAGAAGCCGACTTAGGTGAGGTGGCCTGAGTTCGGGCTGCAAGATAGTGCGGGGCACTGAATAGCAACACGAATTTGAGTACTATGATTGGCCCGCAAGGGCACATCGTAACCAAGCTGTCAGCCAGTTACGATTGGGAAGGAGGAACAACACCATACTTAACCCAAACCTTGACAACTACAAAGTCATCAGGGAGGACACCGCCAGGGGAGCTTAACCAAACACCGCAGCGAACAACTAACGTCACGCAGGGAGCAGCTGAAGTACGTGGCTCGTGAAGGCTGTGAGGCGCTAGCGATGTGGGACCTCGTCGTGGCAAGCTGAATGCAATTAGCATCACGATTTCCCTGTGTGGTAACGCCACCTCATCGCGTCCAACTCCCTCCCAGCTGGTTGGGTGCTACTTCCTGGTCGGCTGGAGCAGCAAGCTGCGCGGCGATAAAATGAGGGGTGATAGACAATATTTGTCTGGACGTTGCTGGGTTGACGTGTGATCTGGGTGCTTATAACAGGCAATGTGAATGGGGCGAAGAGAATAACGAGGATCGACAATGAGGTGGACCGTGGTACGCTCTGCATCATGGGAGCACTGCGCATGCCTCGAGTAGGCAACTGAACAGAAAGACGCTGGTAACATCTGTTTCTACGATGTACTTGGGAAACTCCTCCACCTCCTCACCCTCCTCGAGGTACGCTCTGCTGATTGGGCGGGGGAAGCTAGGTGCCAAAATCGCTAAACGGGTCGATGGGGTGAATCTGCATCTGCTCAACATTGAAGGTGGAGAGTGAGACCCAAGAGGAAGTGGCGACTGGAAAGGTATAACATAAAGAAATTGTGAACTCAACTGTTGATCATGTACCTCTGGCCTTAGTGGACCACCGTGCTCGCCATCAATCAACCCACATCTTTGGTTCTCTGGTGGAACATCCTCCGTCCTGGTGGCTGGGGTGCTGTGAGTTCCGGAAGTGGGATCAATCAATGCGCAAGTTGCGCGATGGTGAATGTGAGCCGTGACGGTGCATAACACATCGACGCACGGCACAAAATTGTGATGTATGGTGTGGGACATGGCGGCCGTGCAGTGTTGGGCATACAGACCTTGATCTAGAAACTGCCAGACTAGTCTACATCTGTCTTTAGTAGGCAATCGTGCTCGGTATCTTAAGGCCAGGCGAACCGAGAGGAGATGCCATCGCTGTGCTGTCACGAGAGGTCGCGCGAGGAGGTGTGGGGGGAGGAACGTCTGCCTGTGCTGCTACAGTGAAAGGTTGTTTAACCATGTGACGAGGCCGATGGCGAGGCGCGCTAGTGAGACAGACACCATGTCTGTCCACCCACTTCCCCAGCCCAACCCCTCACTGACAACACCCCTTTACCCTGTCCAATCTGTGGTTTAAGGTTGCCGTGTTAGAGACGTGAATACAACCATCTGTGTAGCCAGCTGGGCGCAATTGATAGCGAAGCGACGTCCGTCTTCTGCACCGTTTCCATGCCCAGGCCCCACCTCCCCCCCCGATTTGATAAAAATTGACGCGTGAAGATTGCGATGGACCTCTCGCTGTACATCTAAGTCCACGTGCTGGTAACCTGTGGTGGAGTCGAAATATGATCCACCCAACTCCAACCACCAACCGTCTGCACACAATATTGGACATAACATGTCGTCAACCGGTGGTTATGGTCAAGGTGCGTAAAGCGGAAGCCTGTACGTTTTTCGGCGGACAGGCAAGCCTTCCCGAACAACACCGGACTGCAACGAGTGCGGGTGCCCCACACCGCAGGGCGCCCACGAACGGACCTGTATCGCCCTCCTCCTACTTCCCACCCAAACCAATCACATGCAACTCTACATCTCCATATCTGTTACATCTTACGCTGTTATCTTGGCTGCATTGCAATTGCACGCGCGGCACCTACACCGTACCGACAGCGACTACAGAGCCAGCCGGGCATCGACGAGAGCGTCGCATGATATTATCAGAAACTCGCACACTACTTACAGTAGCAAGCGCACGCTGGCGCCTTGACGCTCATCGCAGCGCACAACAGCCACTCAGACCAAGTACAGGCACAAACCAATGATCCTCACCAGGTGCGGAGCACACGGCCCCTTTGCCAATGGTGCATGGCAAGTGCTACGGCAACAAAGGCGAATGGGCCAACCACCAGGAGCAGCAACACCATGAAGCAACACCACGCTATCGGACGAGCGCAGCACACACCACACCGCTCAACCCTGCCCCAACGACCACCACCAGACCACAGACCCACATACACTCCAAGACAACTACAGCAGCAATACCAACCACGACAACCAGCAACAACACCAACCGACCAACACAGAGCCGTTCAACCTATCCTCAGGTCCAGCATGACACGCGTACCAATGCTCTTGCTCACCCGCCTCCTCCTCCTCCTCCTCCTCCCCCCTCTTCCTCCTCCCCTCCTCTTTTCCTCCTCCTGCCACTCCTCCTCCTCCTCCTCCTCCTCCTCCTCCTCCTCCTCCTCCTCTCCTATCCTCGGTCTCCCCACGGCAGCATGATTACCGAAAACGGGCGGCACGGTTCACAACAAGCTCGGGTGACGCCCGGGCTGTGCACGATTGACAGCTGCGCCTCGCCTATCCTTTCCTCCTTCCCGTTCCCTCTCCCCCTCTATGCCCCCTCTTTTCCCCTTCTCCTCGACCTCCACCCTCATCCCCCTCGTTCCTCTCCTCGCAAGAACCTGCAGCCCCATCCAGCACTTCAAGAATGTAAAGCGCTCCTCCGAGCCGCGCCCCGATCCCAACCTTTGTCGCCCCCCCCTCCCAAGCCGGGTAAGTCCGAGAGCGAGGCAGTCGCACATCTGGGGTGGGCTGCCAGTGCAATGGAAACGCTGTCTTTAGGAACCCTAAAAGAAGGAACGAGGCCCCTTGTTTACATAAGTGAGGCTTCGATTTCCCATATAGGACCTGACGATCGTCTATGGCAAGCTGTAAAATAATCAAAGAGCTCTGAGCCCCTCCCCAACGAAAATGGTTCCTTCTTCAGCGGCCCGACTGTCATCAAACGGTTAAGAATCCTGGCCGACCCCGCGCCGCCGAATCGCAGCGAAGTGTGTTGCGCATTTGATGTGGTGCGCAGCCACGTCGTGAAGCACATGGCCGCGTGCGCAATGGCACCTTGTTCGCAGATCGCACTCGGCGTCAAATATAGCGCGGCGTCCCAGCACTGCTCAGGAGGATCTGCACCAATCTTCAGGAGGATCCGCACCAATCTTCTGGAGCCGCTCGCCGAACCGTCGTTAGTGCCGCGCGATGGCGCCCAGCCTTCAGAGCTAACGCTCCTGATTACACGTCGTTCATGTCAAATCGTGCTTCTAATTGTGCTCATTTCTAATTGTTCCTGGCCCCCTAGTGGCCAGGCAGAGGCCCAGGACAGAAGAATTCGAAATGAAAGGATCTTGGCCCCCAAAAAATAAAAAAAAAAAACTCTCGAAGACTTAGACATGAACAGTGTGCAGGTATCTTCCACCCACACGCACTCTTTTTCGGCGTCGCGGCCCCGCGTGCGGCGACAGGGCGTATAAAGTCGAGCCCAAGCGGTGGAACGCGCGCGTCTACGACCGGCCGAGCTCTCGGAGACCATTTGGAATCCCGCAGCGCCCGGCTGCCGCCACAACCTTCGGGGCCTGGATGGCGGGGAGGCGCGATGGACAGAGGAAACTACGGTGTGAGTGAAAAATGGCGTGAACCAGCCAGGAGTGGAATTTGGACGCCCGAAGCGGGCACGGAAAGAATGGGTACAATGCCCAACAACAAATGTTGTCCCAAACAAACAGCGGCCACTGTTGGGCAGGCGGCCTTCTGTCTCAAATGGACACAGGCCGCTGCGACACCGACAGCGAGTCCTGTTCAAAATGAACAGGAACTGCTGTGGGGCATTGTGCCCGTTCTTTCCGTACCCGATTCGTCCGTGCCGATGGAGTGCGCGGGCGGAACGCGAGGCGCCGAGTGTGGGCCGGCAGCGAAGTGCGCCAAGGAGCGGCGGCGGAGAGCGAGCCGACGCGGCAGCGCCGCAACAGATCGCAGGCCCACGGGGCCGCGGAGGGTGGCAGGGCTGGGCGGCGCGCAGGAGACGGCGGCGGCCGAGGTGCGGCCCCGATGGGCCGAGGGAGCGGCCCGGGCAGGCTCCCAGCGAGCCGGAGAAGGGGGGGGAGGAGGAGGGCGGGAGGCGGCCACGGGCAAGGCTCGGAGGGCGGGGAGGGGGGGGGGGAGAGAGGCGGAGACGAGCCGCGCCAAGCAGGGCGGCGAGGGGGCAGGCCGCGCCTGCAGGGCGGGGGGTGGTGGCCCGTGGAATGTGCAGGGCCGCATCAAACGTGGCGGCGGAGCAGGCGGCGCGCTGGCCGCCGCTGTCGCGGGAGGGCGGCCCTGCGCGCGGCAGATCTGATCGGCGGGGCGAGCCTCGCAGGCAGGGGCAGCGGGCGGCTCGCCCCCTTCCGCGCAGGGCGACCTCGCAGCTGGCACTAAGTCGGGCCTGCCCCTCAACAGGAGGAGTATTCAAAAATGGTCAGAAATAATCGGAGGACGATTTTTTGTGCATTTCGGATTATTTTGGGGTATTTCTCGAGCAGCCTTGGACGCCCATTTCGAAGCTTTTCGAGCGGGGCGCGGCCAACGAAAGCGGCCAAGGATGGGCCGAGGATGCAAGGATGCAGGGTGCCCTTGGGAGGGGTGCCCATCCTTCCTATGCGGGTTGACTGCGTTCGCGCCGCCCTGTGTCGCTCCGTTCCCCATGCACCGTCGGATCGGCGTTGGACCCCCTGCCCTGGCGCGCGGAGCGCGCCAGGGGCGGCGCCGGATGCGCCGCCAGGAAGGCTCCAGCGCCGATCCGAGGAATCCGCGCGGACCTCCAAGTCTTTAAGTTTACGTCACTGTTCGTTCCCCTGCCCCTGCACCAGATCCCCCCTCCAGGCGACGCGTCGGTTTTCTGCGCCAGGAGTGCCTCTGTCCTCCAGGGGCGCCTCCTGCCTCGGGGTTGGACAGACCCCCCTTTAGTAATTAAAACGTGGTTTAGTGAAAACGACCTGAGGCCCAAGCCCGGCAGGCGCAAGCCTGGAAAATAGCGGCCACGGCGCCCTCTCGAGAACCGACAACGGACAATTCATTAATCGACGTGTCGCTTTTGGGGGTTCTGTCCACCTCCGACTGCCGGGCCGCTCCGCAGCGGTCCCGACGTGGAGGCACGGGCGCACGGCGGGTGCCTGGCGCAGCGAGGAGGCAGGAGGAGGAGGGGGGAGCTGGCGTTAGGTCGGGCCTGTCCCCCTGCAGGGGGAATTTTGGGCGAAACATAAAACAGAGTCAAAAAATACTCAAGAGGTGCCCCAACATACTCCAAAAAATAGTCCCCGGACTAGCTTTTGACTAGTTTTGAATATTCCCCCTGTAGAGGGACAGGCCCGACTTGAAACTAGCGGGCGGAGAGCGGGGCGGAGAGCGCGGAGGACAGGGAGAACCGAGGGCGGGACCGCCGACGGGCCCGCGAGGGAGCTCAGCGGCGGGGCCGCCTGCGCCGGCCGGGGCGAGGGCGAGAGGCGCACGCTTCGCCTGTGAGGTCTGGGGGCCGGCGCTCGGGAGGCACGGCGCGGGGAACTGGCGTGCAGGCGGTCGAAGCTGAGGATGCAGCGGAACTGCCGAAGCTGGGGAGCGGGGAGGCGGGTGGGCGGCGGGAGGATGCTGGCGCCGCAGGCGCAGGGGGGCGCCGCTCGGACCTGCGCCAGGGCTCCAGCCTTCCACCCCACGCTGACGAGGCGGCCGATGCTGGATTCGCCGCGCAGGTGCGCCGAGACCATGCCAGCCAGGGCACGGCGCGCGCAGTCGGCCTCAGGCGGGCCAGCGTCAGCGCTGCCGCTCCCAGGGCCGAAGTGAGGAGGAGGAGGAGGAGTAGAAGGAGGAGGAGGAGGGGGAGGAGGAGGAGGAGGAGGAGGAGGAGGGAGGGGGGGAGGAGGAGGGGGAGGAGGAGGAGGAGGAGGAGGAAGAGGAGGGGAGGAGGAGGAGGAGGAGGAGGAGGAGGAGGAGGAGGAGATGGCACGAAGGTGAGGGAGGGGGGCCAGCCTCCACGCGGGGGCTCGGGTACCGCTCCCCGGAGCGCGCTGGTGAGGGCAGGCCGACGGCCGTCGAGGGGCCGCTCCCCGGAGCGCCCTGGAATCGACGGACTGGCCGAGGCGGCGGGCGGGGAAGCCAATGGGGGGCAGGGGCCCGTTCGGAGCGGTGGGTGGCGCGGCCTGGCACCAGTGCTGGCGACCCAGATCCTCCTCAGCAAGCTGAAGCTCAGAGCTTCAGCAGCGTCGCCGGCAAGCCAAGAGGAGACCACCCCCGCCAGGGCGCGGCGGTCCTGGGGACAGTCCCCCAGGTGTGAGCACCCCTCGCGCGTGGGGAGGACTGGGAGCCGCGGGCGCCGCTCAGACTGCCGCAGGGCGTCGCGGGCCCCTCCTCGTCTCCGCACCTGCGCGGGGCATCCGCCCCGACAGCTCAGCGGAGAAGGCGGGTGGGGCGTAGTGAGGACCGCCAGAAGGCAGCCAGGGAGGGCAGTCGGGGAGGCAGTCGGGGAGGGCGTCGAGGCGGGCGTCGTCGGGCGGGGTGCTGGGCGTGGCGCAGCAGACAGTGCGTCGGGGTCGGCGCGACGGGGTCGGCATGGGCGCTCACTGGCGTGAGGGTCGGCGTCGGGGGCGTCGACTCCATCCACGTGAGGGCGCTCAACGTCGAGCTGGAGGGCGTTGGAGAGGGCCCTGTCCACGTGAGGGCGGCCCTAAACGTGGAGCGGGGAGGCCGTCGGGAAGGATGGCATCGGCGATCCAGGCTGTGCTGACGAGAATGCTGGCACCAATGCGCTCGGCTGCGCTGGCGAGGATGGCGGCGATCCAGGCTGTGCTGACGAGTATACTGTCGTCGAAGCTCTCGGCTGCGCTGGCGAGGATGATGGCGCCGGTGATCCAGGCTGCGCTGACGAGGATGCCGTCATCGAAGTTCTCGGCTACGCTAGCGAGGACAATGGCGCCAGCGATCTGGGCTGTGCTGACGAGGACGCCATCATCGTTGGCTGTCGGCTGCGCTGGCGAGGGTGATGGTGCTAGTGATCCAGGCTGTGGTGGCGAGGATGCTGGCGTCGAAGCTCTCGATTACGCTGGCGAGGATTATGGCCTCGGCGATCCAGACTGTGCTGACGAGGATGATGGGACCGCAGCTCCCGACTGCGCTGGCGAGGATGCTGGTGTCGGCGCTCCAGGCTGTGCAGACGAGGGAGCTGGCGAATTCTCGGCTGCGCTGGAAAGAATGGTGGCGCGGGTGATCCAGTCTGTGCTGAGTAGGATGCTGGCTTCGATGCTCTTGACTACGCCGGCGACGATGATGGCGCTGGCAGCCTGGCAGTGTTGCGAGGAAAATGGCGTCGAAGATCTCGCTGCGCTGGCGAGGATGGTGGTATCGGCGATCCAGGCTATGCTGACGAGGATGGTGGCACCGAAGCTCCCGGCTGCGCTGGCGAGGATGGCGGCGTCGGCGCTCCAGGCTGTGCAGACGAGGATGCTGGCAAGGCTCGCGACCGCGCTGGGGAGGAAGATGGCGCAGGTGATCCAGGCAGTGCTGAGAAGGATGCTGGCCTCGATGCTCTCGACTGCGCTGGCGAGGATGATGGCGTTGGCGGTCCCGGCAGTGGTGGCGAGGATGTGGGCGTCGATTCTCTCGATGGCGCTGACGAGGATGCTGGCCTCGGTGATCCAGGCTGTGCCGACGAGGATGCTGGCACCGGCGCGCTCGGCTGTGCTGGCGGGGTTGGTTGCGCTGGCGATCCGCACGCTGCTGACGAGGATGCTGGCGCCGATGCCCTGGGCAGCAGCGCTGGCGAGGATGGTGGCGCCGGCGTTCCAGACTGCGTTGGAGGGGCTCAGCGCCGGCGCCTGGCCGCTCGCTGGGGCCGCGGAGAGAGCGCAGGGCAGCAGCGGCGGAGGCCGGGGCGTCGAGGCAGGCCGCGCCTGCTGGGTGGACGGGCGGCTGGTGGAATGCGGAGGGCTGCGCCGAGCGTGAAGACGGGGCAGGAGGCACGTTGACCGCCCCTGTCGCGGGAGGGTAGCCCTCCGCGCGGTGAGTCAGGTCGGTGAGGCGAGCCTCGTAGATAGGACCCGCTGGCAGCTCCCTCCTGCGCAGGGCGACCCCGCAGCAGGCGAGGGCGAGCGAGGCGCGGCGCCCCTCAGCCCAAAGGGTGCAGCCGCAACCGCCGTAGGCTCCGCGGTGGGCCAGCCCTCCGCACGGGGAGTCGGGCCAGCAAGACGTGCCTCGTGAGAGGGGGCCGCAGAGAGATCGCTCCCCCCTGCGCAGGACGGCACCGAGCCAGGGGAGAGGGACCGCTCGGGCAGCCCCGGCCCCCTCGTAGCGATGCCAGCGATCCCTCCTCCTGCGCGGGACAGCCCCGCAGCAGGCGAAGGGTGATCTGGCTGGAAATCGCGCCTCCTTCCGGATGCCGTCCTCGCCCAGGGCGGCCTACAATTGCGCTGACGATCATGCCGGCGAAGCTCTCGGCCGACCCGACCGCATGCCGCCAACGGTCCCTCGGCCGCCGCTGACTCCCCGAGGCAGACGCGGGGGAGCAACGGCTCGACGAGTCACAGAAGGCAGGGCGGCCTGCCAGCGACTCAGCGCCCCTCGCAGCGTGCCCAACAGCAAATGTTGTCCAACACCGACAGCGGCCGCCGTTGTGCAGGCGACTTTCTCCTCGGACGGACAACGTCCGCGGCGACACCGACGGCGAGCCCTGTCCCAAATGGGCAGGGACTGCTGTCGGTCTTCTTCCCCATTCTTCCTGTACCCATTTCGATCGTACCGAGGACACGGCCAGGGATGGCCTATAGCGCAAGGCATGCGAGGCATGCTCGGCCATCGGGCTGTCGCCCGAACCCGTGCGGGCTTGTTAAGGCAAGCTGGGACTGTTTGGGTGGGGGCTGTCCGTGCGCAACCCGAAACCTTACCTATGGGAACAAATAGTGGTATCAACATTACGGTGGGGGGCATTGGATAAGGAACCCTTAGATAAGGAATCCAGCGTCTGGAAGCCAGTGGAAATCCAATCGTGGATCGGCCATGGATAATTATCACCGCCGCCCTCATCAGATAAGAAATCCTCCAAGGTCTGAAGCCTCCTGGGCACGTTCCAAAACCAACGCCCCCACCGTAACGTTCGGGGCTCCTCGCGGACTTCTTGATCTGGGCGGGCGGGGCCCCCCTTCCCTGGCCCCTCCAGCGCGCAGCGGCGGCGCCGGAGGAGCCGCCAGGGGCGCCCAGCGCCGATCCGAAGAAATCCACGCGAACGTCCGAAAATTTCTGCGTATGCCATCTTTTTCCTTCGATTACCACCTCCATTCCGTCCAGCCGCTAGCCATCGCTCGGACGCCCATTCCCGTGCATTTGTCGTTTGTGTACGTGCTTTTTGGCTCGATGATCCAGGATTCTACTCAAGTCCTCGCCGAGAAAAAATCCACACGTCCGAGCGATGCCAAGGGAATCGGAGCTGTGCCAAGGCCATCGGGCTGCCGCCCGAGCCCATGCGGGCCCCGGAAACACCCGCGGCAGCCCCAGCCCCCGCTCCCGAGCCCGCGGGATCGGCCCGCGGGGCCGTGGCCACTCGGCCAGGCGCCGGCCGTAGCATGCGAGGGACAGAGGGGGCCTCCGACAAGGGCAGCTACGGTCGGTAACTTTGGCTGAGCGTGTCGCGGCGGCGGCCCTGTCGAGACGCTGTGCCCTGCGGGTGGGTGGCGTGTCGCTCCGCTCCGCGGGGCGGGAAGCTCGGAGAGGCCTGGGGCGGTGCCGCCTGGGGCTGGGATGCGGATAGCGTGTCGCGCCGCAGCGGGGTGGGCCAGAAGCAACGCAACGACACGCTGAGCCCGAACACCCGGCTGTGAGATCGCGCTTCGCGTCTCGCGAAGCGCGATCAACTCCGCGGTCGCGCGCCGCCACGCCGGGGGAGAGGAGGAAGGAGGAGGAGGAGGAGGAGGAGGAGGAGGAGGAGGAGGAGAGAGGAGGAGGAGGAGGAGGAGGAGGAGGAGAGGGACGATGAGGATGAGTGAGATGAGATGCGGATGCGGATGAGGATGAGGAGGGGGAGGAGAGGAGGAGGAGGAGGAGGAGGAGGAGGACTCGCGAATCGCGAAGCGCGAAAGACTTCGCGCCCTCGTGGCAGCCTCCGCGGGGAGAGGGCGGCGGCCTCCGAACGCGGCAAGCGGGTGTTCGGGTGCACTGCAGCATCTCCGACGTGTGCTCGGCTTACGTGCTCTTGTACTTTGCTTCCTCCTCCTCCTCCTCCTCCTCCTCCTCCTCCTCCAGGCCTTGCGATGGCCTGGAGCAGTCTCCAGAACACTACGAGCCCGATCCCGATCCCAATCTTCCTCCTTCTCCTCCGCCTCCGCCTCCTCCTCCTTTTTGATCGTGGCGTCTGGCGGCTGGTAAAAATGTCCGACTTGGCGCTGCGGTAAAGAGCAAATTCACCTGGCGGGCGCAGCGGGAAAAGACAGGCTTAAAGTTCGGAGCGGATGAGCGCTTAAGAGTATGCGCCCGCCAGGGGGTACTAACAACAAGCCTGGAATACCTTAGTTGCCACTCCACCCTATAAGTACTGTAACACAATTTTAGTACGCCCCCAATCCAAGCATCCCAAGTTTTGTTGGTCCAGGCTGGCCGTGCGTAAAGGGAAGACTCATGCAACCCAGGCGACAGTAGAGCAAAGGAAAGGAAAACATGTGAGTGCGTGAAAAAGATAAAAAGCTGGTCATAAAGGCTGGTCTGTGATGCCCTACAGGGTACATCCCAAGAAAACGTGCTCAGGTGGCCACGCCCTGTGAGTCAGGGGGTCCCGAAATGGAGGAGATGGACCCTCCTCCTCCTCCTCCTCCTCCTCCTCCTCCTCCTCCTCCTCCTCCTCCTCCTCCCCTGAACAAGTCCACCCCCTTGCGTCCTCTCTGGCGGCCTCTCGGGACGATCCGGACATCCCCGGCACGCCCTCAGCGATGCGCTGTCGCTGGAAGGCATCCCGAGGCTGGGAAGCCGATGAGACCCGACGAACACGACCGACAACATCAAGCCTCGAACCTCGAACCTCGAGCCGGCCCCCCTCCACCTCCTTCGCGACCCTGCCCGCCCTCGCCCCGCATTTCGGGGGGGGCGCTTCCTGCGCCTCGTCCATCTGCTGCTGCGTCGCGCCGGCCTCCGGCTCGCCCTCGGAGGCGCCCTCCTCGCGCCGCGGCGCTGCGGCGTCGTCGTCGTCGTCGTCGTCGTCGTCGTCGTCGTCGTCGTCGTCGTCGTCGTCGTCGTCGTCGTTACCGTCGCCGTCGCCGTCGCCGTTCTCGTCGCCGTCGCCGTCGCCGTCGCCGACGTCGTCCTCGTCATTCGTCGTTCGTCGTTCGTCGTTCTTCGTCGTCGTCGTCGTCGTCGTCGTCGTTCGTCGTCGTCGTCGTCGTTGTCGTTCGTCGTTCGTCGTTCGTCGTTCGTCGTTCGTCGTTCTTCGTCGTCGTTCGTCGTCGTCGTCGTCGTCGTCGTCGTCGTCGTCGTCACTGTCACCGTCGCCGTCGTCTCTGAGGTTTTAAGGGTGTCTCTGGAGGATCTTGTCGCCATCAGAGAAGTGGATAGGATGGACCCAAGGGGGCGATGTTGAATCGAGATTGTTCCGACGACGACGACGGCGGCGGCGAACGCGAGGGGCTTTTGGGTTGCCCTTCGTCGGGCCTCTGGGGTTGCCCTCGCCGCTGTCGCGCAATGAGCCTCGAAATGCTGATCAGAACGCGCCCCGGGAGAGGTCTGGGGGACAGGGGCGGTTTGTGGGACAACGGCGACGACCCTGCCTTCATCCGCCTGCCCTCCGTCCTCGCATCCCACGATTACCCATTGTCTGGCATTTTGGAGCAGGCCGAGACAAGAAAGCGCCACCGAAATTTATCGCAGATCACCTCAGGGTCTCGGCTAGTGGCGAATATCAGAAAATTATCCTGGCGAAGGACCCAACCATATGCAAACGTGAATACCGCAGGGCAGGTGGGACGAAGCAAAAGGAATTCCCAATATGGCCACGAACCGTGTGAGGGGTGCGCCACGCTGGGGCGGGGCCGCCATGCGAACCCTGCCACTGAGGCCTTCGGTGGAGCTCCCTATGTCCCTACGGGGCCACGAACCGTGTGAGGGGTGCGCCAATATGGGGCGGGGCCGCCATGCGAACCCTGCCACTGGGGCCTTCGGTGGAGCTCCCTATGGGGCCACGAACCGTGTGAGGGGTGCGCCAAAATGGGCGGGGCCGCCATGCGAACCCTGCCACTGGGGCCTTCGGTGGAGCTCCCTATGGGGCCACGAACCGTGTGAGGGGTGCGCCAAAATGGGGCGGGGCCGCCATGCGAACCCTGCCACTGGGGCCTTCGGTGGAGCTGGGGCCACGAACCGTGTGAGGGGTGCGCCAAAATGGGCGGGGCCGCCATGCGAACCCTGCCACTGGGGCCTTTAGTGGAGCTCCCTATGGGGCCACGAACCGTGTGAGGGGTGCGCCAAAATGGGGCGGGGCCGCCTGCGAACCCTGCCACTGGGGCCTTCGGTGGAGCTCCCTATGGGGCCACGAACTGTGTGAGGGGTGCGCCAAAATGGGGCGGGGCCGCCATGCGAACCCTGCCACTGGGGCCTTCGGTGGAGCTCCCTATGGGGCCACGAACCGTGTGAGGGGTGCGCCAAAAGAGGCGGGGCCGCCATGCGAACCCTGCCACTGAGGCCTTTAGGTGGAGCTCCCTATGGGGCCACGAACCTCGTGAGGGGTGCGCCAAAATGGGCGGGGCCGCCATGCGAACCCTGCCACTGGGGCCTTCGGTGGAGCTCCCTATGGGGCCACGAACCGTGTGAGGGGTGCGCCAAAATGGGGCGGGGCCGCCATGCGAACCCTGCCACTGGGGCCTTCGGTGGAGCTCCCTATGGGGCCACGAACCGTGTGATGGGTGTGCCGAAATAGAAGCATGCGGAGGGTGATGGTGATGATGACGACCATGTTGGTGCTGATGATGATGACGATGACGATGATGATGATGGTGGGTGATGACGATGATGCTGATGATGAGGAGACGAGGAGGGAGGAGGCAGCGGGAGGAGGAGGAGGGAGGAAGGAACGCGGGGCACCGTCTCTTCAAAACGAGGACCCAACACCACAGGATGGTCGGGAAAAACACATAATATGGTTGGTTGCTTGCTTGCTTGCCGCACATCTTCCAATCCTGCAGCGCTCCCCGACTTACCATCGCAGTCTGTCAGAATTGCGAAGGTCGTGGCGCTGTTCGCGCAACGTGTTTTAGCCATGTAGCCGAAGAGCAACCGAGCCATCAGAAAGATGCTTCGGACAAACACAGCCGACAACACTAGTTCTGAATGAGCCAGGGGACTTGGATTGTCCCGATCCGTGGCGTTCAAAACCTGTTGCACGGTCGCGAGGTCTTGCAGTGCCGTGTTGCAGCGCATGCGCGAGGCGTGCATGCCACTTTCGGCCCGCTTCGGCAGGGCCTCGAGAACACCCACATCACTCATTGCGTCGCGATCCCGTGCACCCACGGCTCATGGCGTGCCACGACTCGCCGCACGGCGGCAGCGAGGCACGACGCTGATTGCATGGCAATTTGCGCGTGCCCTTCGCAAAGAACTTCTTCGCGGTGTACCCCACTGCTGTGCCCAGCCACACGCGTTTTGCCCCGCGAGTTGTTCCCCGCGAGCTCAGGCCGCCTGTAAAGGGCCCCGCCGTACACCACGGCCGAGGCCCGAGAGAAGGAGGAGCGGGGAGGGGGGGGAGGGGGCGGAGGAGGAGGAGCGGGGGGGGAGGGGGAGAGGAGGAGATGGAGGGAGGAGGAGGGAGATGAGGAGGAGGAGGAGGAGGAGGAGGAGAGGGGAGGAGGAGGAGGAGGAGGAGGAGAGGAGGAGGAGAGGAGGAGGAGGAGGAGGAGGAGGAAGGAGGAAGGAGGAGGAGGAGGAGGAGGGGAGGAAGGAAAGGAGGAGGAGGAGGAGGGGAGGGGGGGGGAGGGGGCGGAGGCGAAGGAGGGATGGAAGAGCAGCGTGGGCAGCGAGGGCAAGGCGGGAGGCAAGAGCGTCGGCCGCGAGGCACAGGGAGGAGACGGATGACTCCCGGAGCTCCTTTTTGTCTGTTTGGCTTCAGATTGGTGCTGAAGGGCATCCCGCATACAGTCGGGGCGTTTACCTAAGGAACCCTAAATAAGGAACGAGGCCCCTTTTTTCCATAAGTCAAACTTCGATTTACCATTGAAAACCAAAGGACAACCCAAGGCAAACTGTAAAACAATCAAGGAACACCGAGCCCCTCCCCAACGAACAGGGTTCCTTCTTCAGCGCCCCGACTGTACTGCAGCGTGGTCCCACAACCCACCTGCATCACTAATGCTGGTCGCTGCGCACTCTTCGCAAATACTGGTCTTGGAACTCCCCTCCCGGGAGGGGTGGGAGGGCAGGTTGGAAGCAGAGCGAGGGAAGCAGATAGGAGGGAAGGTTCCGTCTCCTGCTCGTCTTCCTCCTCCATCCTCCATCTCCTTCTCCTCGTCCCCGTCCCCCTCGTTGCTCCACTTCTTTCCCTCCCCGCACTTTACTCCCTCTCTCCCCTGCCCCTCCCCTTCCTCCCCCTCCCCCCTCTTCCACCTCCGCCCCTCTTCCTCCTGTTCCTACGCCTCCTGCTTCTCACTGTCATCACCGTCTGCCTCCTCATCCGGCGACGACAGTGGCCGCACTGACAATGGCGACGTCGACCACGCTGACGACGAAGCCGCCGACGCTCGCAGACGACGACGACGCGTGCCTGCTGGCGCTGCTGCCTCTGCTGCTGGAACAGCTCCTGCGGGGGGGCGTTGCGCCGCGGGGGGGGGGGGGGCGGGGCGGGGCGTCGTGCGGGGACCTGCTCCTGCAACTCCCGCGGCTCCTCCTGCTCCAGCGGCTGCTGCTGCTCCTCCTTCTCCTCGCTCGCCTGCTGGTCATTCTCGATTTCCTCCCGCTGCTCCTCCTCTCCTTCCTCGCTGCACCCTCTGCTGCTGCTGCTGCTGCTGCTCCCCCCCTCCTCCGCTGGGCCTTCGGGCGGCCTCCTCGTTGCGACGACGGCGGCGGCGGCAACGCCGACGACGCCTGTCGTCGTCCTCCTCCTCCTCCTCCTCCTCCTGGTCGTTGTTGCGTGTGGTCCATGCGTGCCGTAGATTCTCCAGCGCGGGTCGTATTCGGCACGGGAAGGGTGCACGACAGCGACGGACACCAGACGCCTACGCATACCACTGACGCCTACGACGACAACAACGGACGACGCCGACTGACGCTGACGACACCGCCGCCGTCGATCACGACGACGACGACGACGACGACGACGACGACGACGACGACGACGACGACGGGGCGACGACGACGACGACGGCGGCGCTGGCGGCGGCGCCGACGACGCCGACAACGACGACGCCAACAACGGCAATCATGACGACGACGATGACGATGACGACGACGACGACGACGGCGGTGGCGGCGGCGGCGGCGGCGGCGGCGACGACGACAGCGCCGCCGCCAACGCTGCCGCCCCGAATGACGACGCCGACGACGGCAACGACCACGCCCACGACGCCGCCGTCGACGGCGAAGGGCGGCAGCGGCGCCGTCGCCGACGACGCCGACGACGCCGACAGCGACGACGACGGCGGCAACAACGACGCCCACGGCGGCGGTGTCTTGCAGGGGCCCAGTCGTGGACGCCCCGGTGCCCGTGTGCTCGGCGGCGGCGGGCTGCTGCTCCTTGCGGGGGGGGGCGCCCTCCTGCCAGAGGCTGCAGCAGAGGGTAGCAAGGGCCATCCTCGATCATCCTCCTCGCCCTCAGTTTTCGATCCCCCTCCATCTTCCTCCTCCTCCTCCTCCTCCTCGATCTCCCCCCCCTTCATCCGCCTCGATCCTCCTCGACCCCCCTCGAGCCTTGATCCTCCTCCTCGTGGCTGCGCTGGTGCCGATCCCTCCTCGCTCCCATTGGACGGCGGGATAAACCCGACGAGCTCTCGAGCTGTGGCTGCACATGTTTGCCCGCTTGGCTGTAGGACTGGACTGAGGCCTTCTAGATCCGAGCCTTGGTGGCTACGGTTCGCTCAACAACTACACGCAACACACACACACCTATGCATACACTTACTTGTATGTATGCATGCACACATGCATGTATACCTGCTTACATGCATGTCTATATGTCCATATGTATGTATATGTATGTATGTGTGTATGTATGTATGTATGTATGTATGTATGTATGTATGTGTGTATGTATGTATGTATGTATGTATGCATGTATGTATGTATGTATGTAAGTATGTATGTATGTAAGTATGTATGTATGTATGTATGTATGTA